TTATATGCATATTTAATTGTGTCAATCATCTAAAAATCATGCTATAAATTATGATAATTTTATATATTATTATATATATATAGTAAAATATTAAGTAATGAATGCTAAATAAAATAATTTTTATATGCAATAGACGTTATTGCAATTATGGTGTAAATGTCACTATATTCTCACTTAACATTACTTGCATAGCAATAATAATTGAAAGTTAATTACACATATACCAAATGGTAGAACGAAACTTTTATTTCTTAGAAATTTAAAATCGATTTTGTTCTCATGTACGAACATTTCATTTCCGGTATCTCCATATTTGGATCGATCTACCTTCAATATAAAATAGGCTTTATAATACTTGTCATTTAATGCATTTTACATTATTCAGTTTCTTTCTTATACTTGCAAATTTCATAATTTATTTCGAGAATTATTATCATTTTTTTAGGTGAATAAATAATTTAACTTTTGTTAGACAAAATAATTGTATATTTCGAGTAACTTAAACTACTTGAATATCAGGATTGTGTGATCTTTTATGTTTCTTTCAACTAAAAGTGTTTGCTGATAAAGTCTGGAGAAATCTTACCAATAATTGTATGCAAAGTGGCGTTCACGTGAATGATGTCTGCAATTTTTTAACGAGTCGTACATTCCAGCGATATCATTATCTATGGTATACACCGGAAGTCGCACCGTATTTATGTAGGCGCGACTTGTTCACGCGTGGCACAATGTTGTGGATTATACAAAAACGTTTGCTGACTTTCAGTGAGGAACGTATACTTTTCGGTGCGTAGTGAAACGATCGCGCCACAATCGTACAAAGTTACAATTTTATTCACGAAATTCTACGTACATACACTCGACATTTTGTACTCTGTATTACACTTTTATCGCTAAATGCATGTCGCATTTGATTCGATATCATTTTCCCTTGAATAAATCAATATTTTTTTATATATATATATATACACTCACACATTACACATATTAAAAATGTAAGTAAAAAATGTAGTTGATCAATTTACATTTACATATAATAATGGTGCTTTCGTAATATAAGACTTTGTGTAAAATCGCGTTGAATGCATTTGCTATGAAAAGATTACGACATTGTAGATGGAAAAGGTATTTTTGCCACAATACATGACTCACACTTTGTCAATGCATTGAAAAAAATTATTAATTTGTTACATGAGGAAATTATGCCAATAATATGTATGTCTATGTAATCAGAGTTTTATAAAATTTCGCAAACTGAAAAAATTTGTTGACTTGACTAAACCTTTCAACTAAATTATTATTTTGTTAATTGAACATATAAAAATATTTAAATTAAATATAATATATTAAATTTAAAAACAAAACGTATATTTGATTTAAATATTAATATATGCTTAATTAACAAAATAATATTTAATTAAAAGGCTTAATCAAATGAACAAATTTGTTCAGTATGCAAAATAATAATAATTTAAGAAAATTCTAATTACATAGACATAAAATTATTAGCGATTTTCTCATGACAGGTACAGGATGCATTAAAAGTAAATCGCAATATCTGACCATCAAGAGGCACCATTGTATTATGATCACACAAAACTGGCCCTTTTACCTGTGGGACAGTAGAATTAGTGCAGTATACTGCAGTATAACCACTAACATCGACAAGAATTTGGATTTATAAATTCTTGCTTAGGAATGCATTGAATCTTTTCAGTCGCATTTACACAGTCAATTATTATTACGGGATGTCTCTTGACCAGCAGATTGTTTACACATTGTACTGAAAGTCCTATTTCAAAAGCATGAAAGACACATTTCCTGCACGTGCAGGTATCGGTTAGAAAAAGGACATTTTTTGGAACTTTTTTAGAATTTTCCATTTGAAATGAACAACGGAATTGTAGGTAGTGTGCCGCAGGGTAGAGGATACATTGGGATTTATTGGCTATTCTTTTCTTCTTACGTTGTGTAACTTGAACTGAATAAGAAAAAGAAATATTTTTGCTAAATAATATTTCTATAATGACGATTGATATGACGATTATCATATAAAGTCGATTATATTGCTTTTATTAGCTTTGTTAATTTTAAAATTTTAGTAAATTAATACATACTGCGAATATATGTACGTAATATTATACATTGTGATTATTATTTTATTATCTTTCTCTATTATACATATTTAATATACGTATGTAAAGCTTAGATTAAAATTTAGCTATGTTTCAAATAATTATTAGAGAATTAGGAGAAATATTTTATACATTTATAATATCTACATAAAATATGCATACATTAACTACTATGTAAATGTAAATTCTTGATAAATGTGTATCAAGTGGAATATAAAATTTAAGATTAATCTTAATTATATTGTTATATGGTAAGATAAAATAAAAAAAAGATAAATTAATAATAATCATATTATAAAGTGTAAAAATATAAAGTTTGCACGCGTACATGTACGCTGAAAAAAAATTTGTTAACTTGACTAAACCTTTCAACTAAATATTATTTTGTTAATTGAACATTTATAAAAATATTTAAATATAATATATTAAATTTAACAAAACGTATATTTGACTTAAATACTAATACATGTTTAATTAACAAAATAGTAATTTAGTTGAAAGGTTTAATCAAGTTAACCAATTTTTTAGTGTATGCGGCAATTACGAAGTGTAAAGATAATATGAAAAAAAAAATTGAAAAGTATATCTTTAATCTATACTGTCGGTTCCTTAGTCTTTTTCTTGTTGCTCAGATTTTAGAAGCACGTGTATTTTCTTCCAATATTTCGTCAGATTTTGAACTTTGGCGTTCAAAAGAATACGTCCTTTCTCAGGTATCTGGTAGGACATAGCTCTATGTAGAACCGACTGACTCATAGTCGTCAAGTTCCGGAATTGTATCTCGTATATCTTTTAAAAAAGATTAGTGGACCTTTTTCTGCACGGTTGAGTATAGAAAGATGAGAAGTTCGTATAACATTGTAAATCTGATTTTGATTTAGAGAAAGCGATGGTCATAAATAGTTAAAGCTCGTAAAAAGCGGAATAATCTCTTCTTCATAAAAAATAATAAAAAGAAAAAGCAATGAGCGTGTACACTGACAGAAAAATTCATTTCTACGGAGAAAAAATGCAAAAATAAAGAAAAGAAGAGATATATGTATATGTATAAGGAAGAGTAGATTGCACATATAATATGTATAAGAAGAGAAGCGAGCAAACACAATACGATGACAGATTCTCTTTTGGATATAATATGTATAAGCGACAGTAATGAGTCACACACGCACACATACATATAAATTTAAGGTAGCAAACAGCAAACTTTGCGCGTGTGATATGCATTCCTTATAATTTCTCCAACAGGAAGAAAGGGCAGTTTTCTTCGAAATTAAAAGTGCGCAAAAAAGTGTTGCTTTTTGTGTCATAAAATGCATTTAGATCTAATCCGTTTTCTCGATCCTTAATTGCTCTCGAGCAATTAACGATTGTCAATCAGAGATTTCACCAAACTTAAATAGCACGAAAAAAATAAATGACGAAATTTCTTCAACGAATTTCATAATGACTTGAACGGATTTTTAATTTTGTACGTTCGCAAATATATAGATCATTGATAACGAATTATTAGATATATGTGTTAAAAATTCTAATTAATTCATTTATAGCTTTGAAAAATCTCAACAGATTAATCAAGTTCATGTTAATCACACGTTGAGAATTTTTTTTAAAAACCATATGTCGCATCCGAAGCTTTCGAAAATGTCTCGACTCTTATTTTGCAAGTACTCGAGTAAGTCTCAGAGTCGACTAGTCATCTCTGGTAATCGATAGCGGACGTATTCTTAACTGCAGTTACGCGCGATTTCCGATCAGCGATCGCGAAGTTGACCTTCGTCTCACTTCGAGTCTTTCTTCGCTTCTTCCTTTTTCTTCATGGCTTCGTCACCTTTCTTATCACGCCTCAAGCGTTATTCTCTTCTCTTTATTTACGATTCGTAATGGCTCCACGTAAAATTCTTACAACTTATTTATGCTCGATTTATTTCATATGCTCCATCTGTCACTATTCTAATATACAGTCAATCATTTATTCGTAAAATAATTTCTACAATTTTTTTTATTTTAAAATATTCGCGAATATATCCCATCGTATTTCCATTTTTATTATTCGTATTTCTTAGTCTACCGATATTTCTTTCCACTATTTTTATTATTTATATTTTTCTTTTTTAATTTAGATACTATTAATAACATTATGATTAATTGTAATCAAATGTTCTTGTGAAATAAATTGATAGAAAAGATCCGCAAAGAAAAATGTTGAATAGTGCGAATGTATTTATTGATTTACTGCTTTATTGATTAATTTTTACAGTTTAAATATTTCACACATTTTTCGATTTAATTGATTGAAATAATTATGATATATATTATTATATATTTTAAACATATAGGCGTGATTAAAAAGTAAATATTAAATTTAATAAATAACTTTGTAACATTTACATAATATTATATGCATTTTATATTGTTATTTCTCTTGAAAAATTATTAAAATAATATTTAAAATAAAATTTTGCTAAAAACTAAGTGAGAGAAAAAGATCTCACACTTTTTTCCCTTTCTCTCTGAATTCTCACCGAGACGAACTGACTGACCTGACTCGATATACAAAAGCCGCTGTAACAAATATTCCCCATAGTTAGCTAGTAAGAAATTCGCTCGAAAAAAGGAACGAGCGAGATGAACGGCAGGGTGATAAAGAAAGAGAGAGAAAAAAGAGCAGAGGGTTGGCTGCATCCATGGTCGAGCTAAAGGTAGCGCCTTTTCTTTCTTTCAGGATATTCAGTGGAGACGCGAAACAATTAAAGAGGAGACGACGACGAGTGTTTGCCTAAAAAGAGAATTTTCGGAGGAGGATGCTCGGCAGTTGGGGCTGGAAAGAAGAATTGGAGTTGGGAGTGGGTACAACAACCACGTTGCAAGAGAAACAGAGAAGAGAGAGCCCAGACTCGACGCATCCTGTTCCTGACAGCCGGGTGCTGAGGTATGCACCCAGCCGGTGTCACCACCCTCCCAGCTCGCCACATTTCAGCACGCAGCCTCCTCTCGACTGTACAGACTGTGAGTCCCTTTTCTACTGTCTCTCTCTCTTTCTCTATCCTCCACCCCCTTCCTTTTCTCTTTCTCTCTCTCCAAAATTCCATTCAACTACGCCATTCGCCCGGAAAAATTTTAATCCATCTCTTTCTCTCTCAGAACATTTCTCTATTATTATTTTTTCATCATCTATTATTTTTATTACTATTATTATTTTATTATTATTATTATTATCTATTAGTGTTATCCATTATTTGATACACAATTTTTTTCTCTCGTTTTAGGCTCCTGGGTACTCGTGGCCATGTTGGATTGTGATGTCGGAAGCGAGAAAATATATGGTGCAAATTTTTAGATAAAAAGATATTTTGATGAAACACAACTTCAGATGACTTTACTCAACTATTTTTTCCTCGACAGTCAATCAACAATCGTAAAACATTTTACAGCTGTTGATTGATGATAAAGGGAAAATGTTAGTTTTTGGACTATTTGAAAAGTGTGCTGAAGCTATTTGAAGATTTTTAGTCTATGCTTTCTCGTCTCTGACGTCACAATTCCAACATGGTCGACAAGGGCCCAGAAGCCTCAATCGAGAGGGAACTTTCCTTTTAACCAAATACATAATATCAACGATAATAATACACGTGTGAATATTCAGAGCAGCGTGAGGTGGCCAAAATGCTGACTGCTCACCCTGAGATGCACGAGAAGAGGGACAGCCTCGGCGGCGGACAATATGGAGCAGGCGGGGGTGGTGGCGGCGCTTCGATTGAAGAGAAATCTATTCCGGAACAACCACCCCCGCCTCCTGTACCGCCGCAACGAGACCCGTCGGACCCCACCATCAGCGCTAAAAAGCTTCCGAAGAAACGAAAGTTCGATCCATCCGAACTCGAGGAGATGGATAAGACTAGCAATGTCACCAGCAACATCACCAGCAACATGGTTAACATACGCCGCCGGTGATGCCGCTTGCCAGTCAGTCGGCTGCTTTAAATCAACAATCGAGCTTACCAACTATTATCAGTCGGCAGTCACCGCAAGAGTCCGATTGTTATCAGGTATGTCGATATAATATTACATGTTTCTCCTCGAAATTTTTTCATGACAAAGTGAATTTCTGTATGATAAAGTTTTGCTGTAATATTATGTTGACAGGTATCCTCGGCTCATTCGGTAGTAGTGTTACCGCCTCAAAGCACAGCGGTAGATTACTCTCTTCGCGAAGAACCTTTACGGTCTCGTCCTCGACTTGCTATTGATCTCAGTGAGTGGCGCGACCATAGAGTGTTAGCTTTAAGGGATTCATATTATTATCCGGGTGTTATACGTAACGTTGTTCACGGTGAAATTTTCATCGAGTTTGACGGCGAAAGGAAGTTGATGCGTTACAATGACGTTCTGGGCGCAAGACGATATGACGTGATAGGCGATGCAAGCCCGTCTTTGGGACAGGTGACTTTGGATACGAAGGTTTGCATCAGGTGTCCGATCGCGAACAGTCACGTGGACGCGACCAAAGTGTTTGTAAAGGGGACAGTGTGCAAGATATTAACGAAGCCTTATCGTTTTGTTGTGAAAATACCGCGGGAAGACGATCAGAGTGAAAGCTACGTTGTGAAACGCGCGGACCTGCGACTAGTACAACCTCCATGGGCCGACGAATTGGAGGAAGGTCTGGAAGATTGCGATCCTTCGAGGGTCGAGACGATTGGTAAGAAATCACAAACGAAATTATGAAAGAGAAATCGGTTGTATTTAAACGAAAGCTGTGATTAAAATTGTCGTCTATTTTTAAAACTTATCGCAGAACACGGATATCGCGGTTCCACGGAAGCTTCAACAGCAGTGCCAATTTTGCAAATCCATCATACTTCTCATCACCCGCCGCATATGTCGACTCATAACGACACGAGCTATTATAGAACGACCGGTACCAGCCCTCTCATGACTTTAAGCACTTCTGCACATTCTGCCACAGCGTTAAGTAACGGCAGTCGGCCGTATGACGATTTAGAAAGTGAGGATGACTTAGATAGGGAAGACATTACATTTCCCTCGGATGCAGGTTAGAAAATATATCATTAAGTTTTCATTTTTATGTGAGATATTGTAAGATAGTATAGTTGCTAAGTTTTTTCGTGCGCGACGCGAACATCAACGTAAAATCAGATTTTTATTTTATTTTATTATATTAAATTAATTAATTATTAAAGTATTGTTCGATGTATTCTTCTCGAGAAAAGTGCTCCTTATAAATAATATAAAAAGAAAACCTAAGATTTTTATCGAGAAAATTTTAGTCAAAACAATAGTATAGTAATTCAGATATATTCAACTGACAGATGCAAAATTGTCAGGAAGCAGCAAAAGAAGCAGTATGCAGAGCCGAGGAAGTACCAGTAGCCTAGTTGAACAACGTAGTATAACGCCTCGTTCTCAGGCAGCCACACCCAGGTATTAATCAAATATATTAAATATATTTTCAACAAGTTTAAATTAGTAATGCGTTGGATAGTCAAGCTGAGTAATAGCTCGTGAGTTTACTCTATTTTTTCTTAACAGATCTCAGGCGGCAACGCCACATAGGTATAAAAAGGGTGACGTAGTGATTACACCAAGCGGAATTAGAAAGAAATTTAACGGGAAACAATGGCGCAGGCTTTGCAGTAAAAAAGAATGTAACAAAGAAAGCCAACGAAGAGGATATTGTTCCCGTCATCTTAGTTTAAAAGGATCTGGTCTTAGAGGTCCGACAAACACATTTCCTGGGTATGAATATTTGTTTGCGTTAAATTTGTGCAACGATAGTTGCTTAAATATGCAATTTTTTTATCGCTTATAATTACGATTCTGTCTTTAATTTACAGTAGTAAAATAGATGGCGAGGAGACATCGAGAGATTCCGATACCTCGCCAAACTATGGTGACAGAAGAATAGCTGGTAGATTCGATCAAGATGAAACTGAAGCTGCTAATATGCTCGGTACATTTTCTTTTTATATATATACATCTTTAGTAAAAAAAAAAAAAATTTTAGATTATTTCTTTATATTTTTATTAATATAATAATAGATAGAATTTATTACAATTCTCTTTTTGCGTAAGATATTCTAAAATAACATTATAAAATAGTTCCTATATTAAAGTAATTTGACTCAATTCGGCAAATCGTCTTCTATTATTGCTACAGTGTCTTTAGGAAGCTCCAGATCAGCTACGCCAGCTTTCTCATCACCAACGGGTCAGTCTTCTGTATCTCCGTGCATAAATCAGTCGCCGGTTCCACCGTTGGGACTGAATCAGAATGTATTTATGCCTATCTCAAGTCCGGCTCATGCGACTCCGCTGATTTCACCCGGCGCTAAATGGAAGCACTCGCCCACGCAATCAAACTTTTTAGTTCAATATCCCCAGCAAGTGATAAAACCCGAGCCGAATCGAGTGGTCAGATCAAATCGACCGGCTCCCGCCAGTATAGGAACGAGCGTGATAAGAATCTCTCCGGTAAATCGCAGTATGCAACCCGGACAGAATCTGGCTCTGTCGTGGTCGGAGCAGAGCCCACCGCCGACGAGACATCCCTCGGTCGTGACGTCAACGATCACTCAGCAGCAGCAACAACAACAAAGCATAATCTTACAGCACGCGCTAACGTCGAGTGCCAACGATTTTCACACGAATCATGCCGAGATGCCCGAACAAAATCCGCAGTTGATAAAACACTCGTCGCATTCGCCTCATATGCCTCTACCCGCTACTCCTGTACCGCAAAATTTGACACTCATACACAACAAACCGCTAGAGCAACCGGTTGATTACGCGCAACCGCCGTCCCAGGGCCCGCCGATCTACGTAATGCAGCACGAGAAGAAGTATCTCGTGATAAAGAACAGTATGGATATGTCAGCGGCATCGACGGGTGCGCACATGAGCAATCAGGATGACAAGTATCGGCAGAGCGTGATGAACCACTTGGGTCAATTGTCGACATCTACGTTGCATCAAGTTCAGTGTCAACAGCCATCTCAATCACCAGCTGTCTCATCCGTCCACATTGACAAACTGTCCGTTTTACAACCTGTAAGTTAACGATACGTTTTTTAAATGAGTGATTTATTATTTATAGATGGACGGGATAGCACCGAGATTAATGCCGTGCAAATAAATCTATCATTTGTTGTCATTAGATGAATAAAGTGGGCGCGCATGCACCATGCACGACCTTACATACGACCGCGCATAGTATGGACATGCAGAGAAGTCAACCGCCACCTACGAGTGCTGTAATGCCTACCTCTATCACAGAGACGGTTACCAATCCATCTACTCCGACGAGTGTCTTCCAGCACGTAATTGTTCAGCCCTTGCAGATTCCAAAGACCCAACCCGCCAGAGAGGAGAATGCGAAAAACAATGGTATTCTCTGTAAGTTTCTCATTTCTTTTTTATATTCTTATATATAAGCAATTATTATTAAATTATTTAAAGCATTGCATTTTATGTATATGGAAATTATTAAGTTTTTTGTTTTTGCTTTATTTTATTATTTTACAATTGTTTTTCCAATGATGTGTGTGATTTTAAATATCATAATAAAACCAACAATAGCGAGCAAGTTTGACTAAACGGTAAGGCTTTCACAGATGGCAGCCATGAAGTTCCTCCTGCATACCAGCCCCATACCCCATCATTACTGAACAATGTGCACAGCTGGAAGCTTAAAAAAGGTTTGAATTTTAACTGACAACTGAAATGTATCAAATTTATGGAATTGCTGTAGGTTGTAGTTTATCACTGGTACATAATACAAAGACATTCATTTATGAACAAGTGTATTACACAAGTACTGTTTTATTATTGTTGTGTGTTCTGAATGTTTCTCTGTGCTTTTTGCTTTTTTACATTTTTTATTATTAAATTTTTAAACATTTCTTTTGTGCTAAATAGGTATACATATATTTTTTATATTGTTATGTATTATTAATAAAAAATGCTTTCTAAAATTGAGACAAGATTTCAAAAAAATTTTTCTACACACACACAAGTATGACATTATTCACCTATGTTATAATTTACAACATTGTTACGATAAGAAATAGTTTTCATTTTGTAAATTTTTTCATGTACTAGTGTTAATCTTGCAACAGACGCAATTAATTAATAAACTTACTCATGTTTTAACTTTATCTCATTTAACATATGACAAAGTACATTTTCAATGATTAAACTTTAATGCTGGGGAAGGATATTTATAGTGATATTGAATTCTTCAAAAAATATATGCAAATTTTTGAAAATACAAACAACTTTTTGCCTTATATTCTTTACATAATTTCAAGATCTTATCTGAGCAAGTTATTTATATCTATCTTGGAATAGTTTTATTTCCTCTACAAACTACAATTTTATTCTTGCATTTCTCTTTTGTTGATCATGTATAAAGTAAAAAAAAATGAGTGAAAAGTAACGCGCGACGATATTTTTATCTTACGCATTTTTATATCATTAAAATAAGAATAGGAATTAAAGAAAGTTTTAGCTTAGTCTCAAATGATTTCAGGATAAAGAATCTCTATTATACCAATAATCTGTTTAAATTTTATGGACAGTCCAATATTTAATTCATCTTTGAATTATCATTTCATCATACACACATTTGTATTGCAATTCATCATACGTGTTATATCATCATACATCAAATAAATCTTTAAAACGTAACATACTAATTCATTCTTATTTATCATGGATATTTTATTGATTTAATAACAGTTCTTTTAATTTTTTTTTTTTGTCACTACTAATTTATTTTCCTTTTTTAAAGACATAGAGCAGCAAATACATCTATATACATATATTATATTGATTGCTGTTTCCATACATCATCATTACTAACCACAATCATTACAACTAACCCACTAACTTCATTACAGCTTTTTGGCAGACGGCAGTTTTGGAACAATCAGAAGTGAGTCCTCCTCCCTCCGCTCTCAGCCCACCCTTGAGCGCACCTCCGATTCCAATAAGTATGAGTACACCTGCTGAAGACGGCCCTGGTACTGGTTCAGATCCTATAACACCTGCTGAAGAGGAAGACGATGACGTTTTTGAAACGGAACCGACTCCAACCGCGGAAGTGGAAGCCAATGCTAATAAGAGACGCAGTCAATCGCTCAGTGCTTTGCAATCGCAGACTCCGCTAAAAGTAAGTTTGGCCGTAATTATTATCGTAATTATCATTTTAGTTTAGATAGATGTCAATTAAGACTCCTGGGCCCTCGCTGATCATGTTGGAATTGTGACGTCAGAGGCGAGAAAGTACACGTTGAAAAATTCTTACGTGCTATTTTTTATATAAAAAGATGAAATATCACTTCAGATGGTTTTAGCACATTTTTAAAATATTCCCTTTAATGATCAATCAAGAGCTGAATGACTGTGATGAGGAAAATGACTATCAAGGGAAAAAATAGTTTTTGGACTATTTTAAAAGTGTGTTAAAGCCATCTAAAGTTGTTTCATCAAAATATCTTTTTATCTAAAAATGATACACAAGAATATTTAACGCGTATTTTCTCGTCTGTGACGTCACAACCTAATATGGCTATAGCGAATACCCAGATGTTTTAATATTATCCAGGTAATTTAGATTAGATAAATATTAAGAATAATGAAACGACGAATAAATTATTAAAGAGAATATTAGAAAACAGTTATTCATTTATATGAATTGTCTTTTAGGCTAAAGATAGAATACGGCGGCCCATGAATGCTTTTATGATTTTTTCGAAACGACATCGCGCTGTCGTTCATCAACGTCATCCGAATCAAGATAATCGCACGGTGTCCAAGATACTGGGAGAGTGGTGGTATGCGTTGGGTCAAGAAGAGAAACAAAAATATCATGAGCTCGCCTCGGAAGTGAAGGAAGCGCATTTCAAGGCGCATCCGGACTGGAAGTGGTGTAGCAAAGACAGACGAAAATCATCGACGGCCAGCTTCAAGGGAAACGAGGTTGGAAGGGCAAAATTGAATAGTACAGGGGAGGAAACAGATGCACTTCAAGGTTCTTCTTCGGATGATCCATTGGCGCTTACTTCGTCCACCGACGAAATATTATCTACCCCGATTAGTGCTTCATATAGCGAAGCTCCCAGTAGTATTGAGGTACGAAATCTCATATTGTATAATAAGAAATTATAATATTATTACAATAGTAATTATATTATATATAATTGCTATCAAAACAGTAATAAAACTATTATACTAGAATATTGTTACAAGATAAAGTAATGAGTACATTTTGAAAAATATTTGTTTCTTTGTATATTTATTTTAAATAATTGCTAAGAAAAATGATATGAATCGATAGATTATGAACCAGTCACACGCGCAACATCGGATTTCGGAGATTCCTTTGCAAGTTGAAAACACCGAAGTTGACATGAAGCAAGACGATGATGCTAACGCGTCGGACGACGATCAGATGGTGATTTGCGAAGATCCACAACCGGAAATAGATTTAAAGTGCAAGGATAAATTAACGGACAGCGATAACGATGTGCAAGATAACGACGAGGCGGAAAAGAAATGTTACAATCAATCGCGATTCTCGCCTCTGAGCGGTCAAAAGAGGGAAGTGATCAATGTTAAACAGGAAATAACCTGCAGACCTAAACCGATAAAAGGTATCTTTTAAATTATTTAAATTAACGTGCGATTTTTATATATGTAAAAAGTTCATATATTAGATTAAAGATTAATAAAAGATTTAACAATATGAATCTTAATGTTTATATAGCACGGATACCCTCAACAGGTATAGAATCTACAACAAAATATCATCATACTAGCATCGATAAAGGCGGCGGTACTGTATCAGTTTTGTCGAGTACGTATCCTTATCACAGTCCTGTCAATCCAACAGGAGTGTCAGGATTCCAACCTACCGGAGGTGCTTTCATAACTATGCCAATATCGCCAAAAGTTGTTAAACCAGAACCAGTAAAAAACGAACAGCAGTACAGCACTCAGTATAGCGTGAATAATCTTGTAAGCATCCACACTGAGAACGGACGGAACGTGCCTAAATTTACAGCAGCTCCGGTATTACATACCGTAAGTATCAGACAAGTGGACATTTTAGCAATTTATTTAGAGACACTCGCCACAAACATCGCATGACTGGATTGTTGTACACATGTATATATACATACACACACACATACACACACACGAATTGTTGATAATAATTATAATCCCTTGTATCATATTAATTTTGTATACAATTATTCGGAACAAAAGAGTAATCTATAATTTACAAAAAAAAGTTTAAAATTTTACAAATATTCTTTTATAATTGAGAGAAAATTATGGAGAGAAGTTCTCTTTAGATCCCTCACATTTATCAAGAATATTATGGACTTGTCATTGTTTCTCTTATCCGCCTTTTTTGTATTTCTGTATATATATTTTTTTTCCACATTTATATGTACGAAACAACTTTATTTTTCTTTATTGAATCAGTTATATCAATTGATCTCAATGCAGTAGTTTGCTTAAGAAAGTAGTGCGTATGTCTCTTTCGAATAAATATTGAATAAAGACTTTCGAGTAGACTCGGAGATGAAGAGTAACAAGTTTAACAATACTAACAGATTGGATCGAAACCTATGATGGCGCTGTTGAAACAACAGCAGCCGTTGCAGTCTTTAGGCACTACTCTTCGCCCCCTTACTTCAACTGTCCCTTATCAACAACCGTTCACTCTAACTTTGGTCGATAACGATTTGCTGGCTGTTTCCAAACCGCAGCAGGGATCGCAGTACCATAATCCGACACCGCCACACTCCGGCATGTACGGTGGATTTCAAATACCTATCACTGGTGAGTATAAATTGTCATCGAATGCTCTTTTTCTAAAATATTCGATAATAAATAAATGATGAGTATGTAAATTCTTTTATAGATGCCGGTGGTCGCAACAATTCAATACCAGTGCAAAATTTTGTTTCCAATAACAAGATGGAGATTCAAAGCGTGATTGTGAGCAAGTCTTATTCCGTCTCGACAAATTCCACCACATCGACTTATGGCCGAGGGACCAGTCATTCCATTGCTCGCCTCGCTGGATCCGAGAACAATGATAATCAACAGGCTATTTCTAATCATGCTCAGTTTTACGGTACTATATTTATATAAATTTATTTCGCAGATATGAGAACACTTTTACAGGATTGATATATGCGGCGTTTTCATCGTTGTTTTTTCTCTCCTGTTACAGTTAGTAACATAAAAACAGAAGACAACAAGGAAACTATAAACATTGTTCTTCCTGCGACGAATGAGAAACACAAGCAACCGTCAACGCCTCACACGCCTCATACACCTCAAAGTAATCACGGAAGCGGTGAACTACCGTCGAATAAATCGTATTCGTTCGACGAAGGTCAAAGCAATGATATGGGACCAAGTAAGGGTCCTTTCATGCTTGCTCCAACTCCGGCACAACTCGGTCGAGCACCACTACAAAGGAGACAATCAATGGGTATATAACAAGTTTTACAATTTGCAGTTTTTTTTATATAAAAGAACAATAATTATATTAATACTAGTTTTTTTAGTTTAATTAAAAATTTTCTTGCTTATAACAATAAACGTTATTTTTACCAGACTTTACTTTTAACTTTGATATATAAATATATTTAAAGTTATATTTTATAATTCCCCCTCAAAAAATTTTAAATGATCAAAAAATTTATAATTAAAAGCAAACAAATTTTCAAACATGTTTACATGTTTTACATATTCTTATGACATTTTATTCACCAATTTTTCTATTTTCTTTCTGTTCACTTTGACAGCAATGCCTCCAACATCAATCGCAGGAGATCATGGGCCAATAACAACATCCCAACATTGTGACAATCGACCGCAAACTAATATATCTCAAACAACAGAACAAAATATAGCAGAGCCTCATACTTCTCCTTCTCCTTCGACTAAGAAAGGCTCCTTTTTTAAGAAAAATGTAGAAGATGGTATGGACAGGTACATATTTGTAATTTTTATATTGCATTGGGATTATTGTTTTTAATTGGAATCAGATTAAATTTGATGATATGCATAATTACAGAGTTCTCGAACAAGTAAACTTTCAAGAAAAGTTTTCATCGTTGCCAGAATTCAAACCGGAGGATATACAGAGTCCGAGTGCGATCAGTATGAACAATCCAGGTTCGTCTGGCCATAATACTGTAGCTTCCGGATTACATCCGCAAACACCTATGCAGATGCCAGGTTATCGAAAGAAATCTGCACAATCCGGACCTCATAGGCCCACAAGTAAATATAATTACATTAAATTATTTTTATATTATTTTCATTGAGCTTGAATTTAATATTTCACTCTTAATGTTTTTTTCATTTTTTTCCTGCAATAGTGAATGAGGATGAGATCGACTCGGACACATCGATATCAGCCACTCCAAAGTCTACTTCGAGCGTCAAATTGACCGGCAACACATTCTTTGGTCCGGATTTTAATGTCGACGCTTACAGAGCCAACAACGATTTATTGGACGTCGATGCCAGTTCTCCGCGAACGCCAAAAACCCCGGGAGGCGGTGCCGGAAGTAGTGTAGGAATCGGTAGAAGCGACAACGAGCGTGGTCATAGAAAGATATTGGAGCAACGAAGACATCTGGTCATGCAGTTGTTTCACGAGCACGGTTACTTTCCATCCACGCAAGCCACTTCTACGTTTCAAGCTAAACATGCGGATATATTTCCTACAAAAACGAGCTTACAACTAAAAATTCGAGAAGTTAGACAAAAGTTGAAGGCAAATTCGACGCCGAGTGCTAATAATCTCGTTAGTCCATCACCAATCTCTGAATCCTCACCTGTCGTAACTGGTAAGAATTAAGTCTTTTTTCCCGAGTCCTCGCCGCGACCATGTTGAATTGTGACGTCAGAACGAGAAAGTACATGCTGAAAATTCTTAGATGCCATTTTTAAATGTGTGTGTTTTCTCGCCTCTGACGTCACAATTTCAACATCAGTGAGGAGCCTTAATTTATATAACGCAATTATATTTCTCCAATACTTTTTTTTTAGGTCCAACTGCTCCTCCAACGTCGATGGGAGCTCCACATTCACTGCCTGTAAGCAGTAGTAGTGGTAGCTAGCACCCACGTGCCAACTGTGATACTATGCATCCCCTTACTCCGCAACACGAATACATTATTATCCTTTGAAGAGCTAAATATTTACTAGAAAAGTCGTTAGAGTCGTGCACACTCTCTTCGGACTTGTAAAGTACTGCAAAAGGCTTTAGTGCAATTTTAGATTTTGATGAAGCCTCCTGCTGCGGGCTTGATTTAATGGGCATGCCGAGACGTGATTGATATACAAGTGATTTTATAATACCAAGGTCTTATGTATACCTGCTGTCTAAAACTATTATTTAACTATTTATCGAGATGTTAACTGTTCTCTTAGATAGTGTGTTTGGATATTTCTGTTTATTGTTCAATCTGTTGAACGATAAGAAAATGAAAAGAGAATTGCAAACATAATAATAGCTAAGAGTTTGCAATATCTCGCAACATTTTATGGTTTTGTGTAAATTTGGTTCTATATGTGGGTCATAAAAAAAAAGACGTATATATATATATATATATATATGTGTGTGTGTGTATGTGTGTGTGTGTGTTTTTGATATATTTACATATATATATACACACATACTATATATTATATACTATATTGTGTATATGTATATATACACTAGTACAAGATAAACAATGTATACATAAACGTTAAACTTTTATCCGGTTTAAGAAACAAGAAGAATTTTATTCTTGAAGACCGAGAAAGACAATACTGCACAATATAAATTCGGGAATAAGTTTAGAAAATTAGAATGATATATGAATATATGTATATCATGTTTTTTTATATTTTATTACATTTGGAAATTGCAATTTGTGTTTCACTGTGAAATTCTTAAAATTGTGTAATTGTTATTTGTATATCAACACGTCTTGCGTGATTCAAGAAGGGCCTAAGCCATTGTTAAATATTGTTGAAAATATGAAGTAAAACTCATGAAGGAAAGAGACGAGCAAAGAGTGAGAGAGAAAGAGAGAAAATTGTAATTGGAAACATTATGGAATATAGAATTAATGGAACATTATAAAAAAATCAGAGTTTATATACTGTAGTTATACTTTATATATATATATTTACATATATGTATGTATGCATGTATGTATATGTATATATTATATAGATCGAAAAAACTCTCTCTATAGAATGAAAAAACTGCGATAAACTGCACAAAATTTATGTAATACATCATTCATCAGAGAGATGTTTATTTCACGTGTAAATATTACGAAATGATATCGTGAGACAAATATCTAAACAGTTGTGAAATATCTGCAATTCTCTATTTGAAGAACTGTAAAAGCACTGTATTCTTGAACCATATATATATTATAATACCAGAGATAAAAATCGTGCCATTGTGCGGCGACAAAATGAAGGGAATGCATGCGCTATAATTCCCTCATTAGCGAAAGAATGATTGTTAGATAATTCTTGATATAGATAATATGTAATATGTTTCCAACATTATTGAAAGTACTTATACCACTGTTTTTTTAGAGCTTTGCTGAAATTCAATGCGTTAATCTATATTTTATAGGTATTTTAAAAACGGTCTTTTTCCTTTTTTTCAATTTTTTTCTTTTTTATCTTTTTTTTTTATTTTTATTTCTTTTCTTTTTTGGCCTTAGATTTAAGCGCTTTTATAAAGCAGGCCGTATTTTTTTTCTCTTTTTTTTGGCCGTGACAAATACACATTTTATTATTACCTTTATTGCATGCATCAAGTACTTAACATATACATAATACTATAGAAAGAGATAATGTACTCGTTAAAATTATAATGTTGATATCAATTTTAGTATGACAATTATTATACATTATTAAAAACTTTTATTAACAGTAGCAATGTACTACGTATAAAATCATGTGCATTTTTATCAAAATGTAAACATTAATACTGTTTATAAAATTGTATATTACGTTGAACGGGATCGTTGGAATGTTGTTATATCATATATATTTTTTAATTGATTTATATTCTTTATTACACTCAAAAGATATAGTATATCGCGTCTGTTTTAACACCTTCTTTTAGTGATCCAACGTTTTCCTTCATTTTTTATATGTTAAATCTCAAAGAATTATCGTGTCGAATTTTAGCAAAGGTTGTTGAATTTGGCTGTAAAATAGATTATTGTAATTAGTGATATAAAAAAAGCGCACCTTGTGACAGGTCTCGACAAGTCTCGCGCCACGGCACGTATACTGTAGTTAGAATATGAGACACATGTCTATTCTACATATTTTGTAAATAGAAAAACATACAATGTGTGTGTATGTGTGTGTGTGTGTGTGTGTGTGAGCGCGCTAACTTTATATATAAATACATATTTATCTATATATAAATTTAGCATGTATAAAATGGAGATGATAGAATATATGCTATTGTAATTTGTAGAAAAAAATTATAATTATATGCAAAAAAGCGCAGGCAGGATTAAGTTTAGAATAATTGCAGATTATGGGCCTTTATCTGTAGTGGACTTTTGTGCTCGGGACGGTCCTCCCACCCTTCTCCAAAGTTAATCCTTTCCTACAAAGCGTTAGGATATATTATTGTTTGTATATAATATAATTATATATTATCACCCTCTTATCTCTCGTCTCTTGATTTATTATTTTTTATTAAACGTTAAGTGCACTAATGGCAAACAGTAGCATAGGAAGAGAGAAACTTAAAGCCTGGATCGATCCTGTTTGTAATGCATTTGTCAAATTTCTGACATTTAATTCATGTCTCTATTCTGCCAAATGTGTTATAAAGTTCTCTCGATTTATATCGCAGAATTTTAATGTTTTAATACGGTTTTTACGATTGCGTAGTATACAAGCAATCAAAGGATATCGTATAATTGTGAAAATATTCTAGAATTATATATATATATGTCATTTATGTCGCGTGTTGTAAAATATGTGCGGGATCATTTTTATTTAGTTCGGCAAAATTGAATAAAATACTTTCTCCAACATGAGCTTCGGAGAATCTTTTATATAAGAGAGAGGATATTTTATCGTAAAATGTATTTTAAATACGAATGCTCAAGTGTATGTGGATATGTGTGTCTCGCTCTTATTATATATTTATATATTACGCAAAATTTAACAAATTTGTCAACAACATTTGTCGATTTTTACAACAAATTATTCGAGCGCGCTTATCTGTATACGTTCCATCGTTTGTAAAAATCTTCTTCGCTTAAAACTGAGACACATATATACACATTCTTAGTTCTAGATGAAACAGGATCTAAACAGGGTTTGAATATCTCTCGCACAAGCCCAACTCAAAGTTAATTAAAATATATATATATATATGTATATATATATATATTTGTACTTGCGTAAACTAGCAAACTACTTTCCAGTATTTATAAGATTCTTGAAAAAGCTTTGATATATCTTCTTCCCCCTTTATTTCACATGGTGATGAAATACGTTCCGTGATTTAGCAGCCATGAATGTGACTGTGATCTAGAAAAAGCAGAAGTAAAGTAAAGTGGCAGCTACTCTACCGACTATTTCTTCACCACATGACTTCCTGCGCGTGTGTTCCTTTCCTTCCTCTTTCTTCCTCGATGTATAAAACGAAGAATATGCACTAAAAAATCGAGCGCTCTTCTCTTTACACCACTCATTTTTTTATTATTATTTGCGTTAGACGTATTTTTATTATGCTTATAGTCGCAATACGATTTAATATTCATTATTCTATTATTTTTCTTGTTTCATTTTGAAATATTTTTAAAACTGTTATGTAATTATATATATATCTCTCTCAGTCAAGATTAATGTTATGGAAAATATTAGGAAGCATACAAAAAGTATAAAATATTATATATAGAAGTCGTAAACAATGACTCTCTATATGTATTCATGAAGTAAAAACTTTACGTCGACTCATTGTACCCGATGTATACATGTGTATACACGTGTGGGGTATATATACAATATATATATACACACACACATACATATATACATATATAAATGTATAAAAAATTATTAAACGCAATCGCATATATGACATCATGGCATATATTATATGTATTATAGAAAAAAAATATATACATATATATATATATATATATATATATATATATATTTGCTAAGGCATTGAAATCTGCAATCTAATAAAAGATAAATCCGCTCTTTATTTTTAAACGTTTGTATTTATATATAATTCTTTTCAATTTAATTAAGTAATATTGTCTAGAGCATATTCTCAGATATAAATTATCGACACATAAAATTAATGGAATTATGTTGAAAAGCACATGCAGTACGTGCATATTTAATATCAAATAATCTCGATATGTGAGATATATATGTATATATATATAAATATATCATAAATATGATTATTTTCTTCATAATTACATATAGTAATTGTTAATTTACTGATTTTACCATTGTGCCTACAGTATCTCGGAATATTATTCACAAAAATTGTTTCGTACACTAAATTTGCGCGGATAGATCGATGACAGATTGGCAGATTTTAACACTGACGCCCCTAAACACGAGAACCAGTTGTTGGACCAAATTGCCGGCACTCGGCCGAGAGATGCGTTTACCTTTTCTAGAGATTAATTCGCGAGAAAAGAGAGCAAAAAGTACAGATAAAAAATTTATTCGCACGACACTGTGACATTATTTATGTTCCGGCGAAAAATTTATACTTTTATTTCAAAGTCAATCGTAAAAATTTATAATTGTATTCGAATGTGTAAAACTGAGTTACACGTTCAATCAGTAGAAATAAATTGTTGTATAAAAATTGGTTAATAATCTTTGATAAAAAATCGAAAATTTTGAGTCATGATTTTTTTTATTAAAAAAAATATATAAGTTAATTCCTTATTTTATATGTGTATAGCGATTTCTTAGCATAATTGTATAATGTCACATTGTCAATGAATATTTCCATATCTCTCGCATTCTATAATTTCATCAAAGTTATCTCTGCTCACAGTAATTAATAAATCATATACATGTTATGGCCGCGATGTGTATGGAGTTAGACAAAATTTTAATATTATTTTAGCGAGAGGCACATAGCTGCAAATAGTGATAATTTTACTATACGAAATGTATTAATTATATGAAAAAATTTGCTCGTAACAATGTAAAGTATATTTTATTATAAGATGGGAAAAACACAGTATGTGGTGAATTATCTAATGCCTGGCCAAAGTATTATTATTAATGATAAATACATTGCAATTAGTTTTATAGAGTTGGCATGTGCTTTTTTCTGGTAAATATATATATATATATATATATATATATATATAATTATGAGCAGAAAAATGATAACTTGTTAGCGAAGCGCATAAAAAGTAATTTTTTTTTTCTTTTTTATACACTGAAGTGCATTATTCTTGGGGAGATATTTTAATGGCCTCTGTACATTAGTATTAATGATACTGATATAACTGTATAAACAAAAAGCAAAAAGAGATTCTTAGAGCACATTATCGATTTCAGATATAAAAAAAATATGAAATATACGAAAAAATATTCTTCATCAAATGTATAAATATTACAGAATCATATATATTATATACCGATGTCTGATTATGAAGTATTGAACAAGTGTTATCAAATAAAATGTTGTAATCTGTGTTGACAATCGCCAAATGTTCTAAGCTTAACACGATCGTTAACAGATACATGCCTGTTTGAGTGATAGATTTTTGATATTTGGGGACAAAAATTGTTATATATCAAAACTTTTTGTCTCCAGATACAAATGGCCAGAGAAAATCTTTTCATATGGCCAAGGGAAAGAGGTATATTACAAGATATTAATATCGAGATCTTAATATTGAGAAAAATTGAAAGCATTTGTGTATATATTTTCTTAAACTGACCATTACATCTATGCGATCCGATTAGATCGCAATGGAATATTTAAAAAAATGCAATTTAAGAATGCAATAAATAAGATCTGTAGATAGACAGTCCTACTTGCTTCATTGCCATATTTTAGTCGTACTATTTCACTTTGATACATTTTCTTTCTGCTTTTTCTGTTTTTTCGTTTCGATTTCGTCGATCGGCGCAGGCTTTACAAACGGAATCTCGCTTTCGTATTTGCAGGGCATGTATTCTGCCAGAATTTTTGGTACTTTGATGCCAGTTTCTGTTTGATGTACTTCTAAAATTGCACAAATTACTCGTGTTACTGCGCACATTGTCGCGTTCAACATATGGACATAGTCCGTCGTAGTGTTCATTTTCTTCGTTTGACCATATCTGTGGATTAAACGAGAATTTAATATTGTGTTATGTTAATGATATTTATATACTATTTCATATACTGACCTCACCAGCAATCTCCTTGCTTGATAATCCAAGCAGTTACTACACGATACAAGTTCACGGAATGCACCAGATCCAGGAAACCAGGCCTCCAAGTCTAGCTTCTTAGAAGCTGCATGATTCAAAGCACCAGATACAATATTAACTATGCGATAAGGAATTTCTAAGGCCTGATAAAATTCTTCCGCATTGGAAATCATTTCTTCCATCATCTCCCAAGATTTATTGTCATAAGGTGAAGTGAGACAGAACTGCTCCACCTGTAAATAAGAAAATAATGAACATTTATGTATCATGCTGTTCTGTTTAATGCATGAATCATAACTAATTCTCATTTAACCTCAAGTACCTTTTCGAACTGATGTACCCTAAAAATACCTCTAGTATCTCGTCCATGAGAGCCAACTTCTTGTCTAAAGCAAGTAGAGATACCGGCATATTTGATTGGTAAAGCATTTTCAGCTATCCATTCGCCTCTATGAAAAGCCGCTATTGGCTGTTCAGAGGTAGCGATGAGATATTTTTCCTCCATGTCCTTGTCCTCATTACGTTCACTACCTTTCCCAATGACCTAATAAAAAAATATATAAATTATAATCAAATATAACGACAGTTCAAATCTTTATATTGAAACCCAAATATACTTTGTATAATTCTTCATCAAATTGAGAAAGTTGTGCTACTTCTTGCATCGCGTCTTTTCGCATAATAAATGGAGTATAAAGAGGTTCGTAATCTCGTTTCAATAATTTTCTCAATGCTAATTGTATTAGGGCTTGTTGAAGAAACACTGCTGGTCCGGTAAGGAAGTAACCACGTCCCCCAGACACGCCTGTTCCACGTTCACCATCCATTCCGGCAATCATGTGAATCAGATCGACGTGAGAGTATGTTTTCCTCTCGGTGCAGTCTCCCCAAGTTCTTTCTACCTGAGATAAGAGTGAACATTAAAAAATAATAAATAATTTTGCATGTTGAAATTCTAAGTCGAGTAAAAGAAGAGACACTTATTGATATTCGTACCTTGTTCTCTTCCTCATCATTGCTAACAGGCACAGATTTGTGCAGATGATTTCCTACTTCTCTAAGAGCGCTATTCCTCTCCGATTCAGTTATCTTCAGGCTCTCGTCGTTCTTCTGCATCGCGTCGTCGATGAGACCACGTATCTTCTTGATCTGCATCACTGTCAAGGTTTTCAGCCTCTCGGAAGTCAAGTCTACCAGATTGTCAGCGATCTCTTGAGGTACGTCATCGTCCTCTCCGAGTGGCTCCTTCTTCTTCATTTTCTCGCCAATCTCCTTGCTACAGAGGTTCTTCAGCTTATTGAAGTTGTCGGCGCGATGCCGCAGCTGTCGCCAGCACTTATCCTTCTCGATCACAGTGTTCACCAGCTGCACATCCTTGAACCGTTTTCTCTGGTTCTCCCGGATCTTCTCCGGATCGAAACCCTTGTCCTGGCGAAACAGATCCAGGTCCAAAACCATTTTTCACGCTTTTCGGTCAAAGGGCGCGCAAACTTCAACTCCTAAAAACGTGGACACGGGGAACACGTGGAGGCCAACTTCAACGCCGCTTGCCTTGCCCTCGGATTCTGATCTATGAAGATAGAAGTCGTGGAACAAATGGAGTCTTATGCGCATGCGCGAGAGTGACAGTACTCACGTCAAACTATCGTTCGTGACATTTGGACATTTTGGAATTATATATTTGAGATACGCTCTCTTTTTTAGAATTTAATATTCCCTCTAGATTTTATTTAGGCTTCTAATTCACAAGATTATTTTATTCGTGCGTATATATTCGAAAGTGTTTTTAAAACTGTCATCCATCACACTGTCGTATATGGGAAAGTATATTTATACAACTCAATAATTAAAAATCATCGTTATATTTACAAAGAAAAAAATAACAAAACTTGTCAATTCTAATATCAATATAAATTTAATAATATCGATATAAATTAATAATAAGATAACAAATTTTTGTTACCTCACCAATTGATGTATATACGTGATAAAAGCGCGCGCAAATTGCCAAAATTTGAAACTGATAAACATTGATAAAATATCGAAAAAATATATAATCAAGAATAAGAAGCGGCATTTATAGTGAAAATGTTAAAAGAAAATTGAGAGAAAAATTTTTAAATTATGTTTGATTTAAAGAATTTCAAAAATTTTGTCCAATCGTGACGCTCGGACAATTTTACCATCCGAGCGCTCTCTATTAGAATGCGCGCGCATCTCTGCGACGATTCAAATTCAATACATCATGATGAGAATGTAGCGTCGCGACGCGCGGCGTCTTTAGTACGTGTTCGTCATTGTTTCGTGCGTGTCGTCGTTACGCGAATCTTCCTCGATCGAATTTCGTACGACAAACATATATAGTCATGTTCTCCCGTTTTCCATTATAAAATTTACCAGGGAACGCGCTGAGAGTCGGTGTAAGTAATGAAACATTTATATACATTAAGGATAGTCCCGAATTATGTAGTAGTTACATATCACATACACACAACACACAAATGTATAAAATAGACATTTCCATTCTTTATATATAGATGGATTCTTCGATGAAACTAATAATGTGTAATTGTAAAAGTTGAAAGCCTAATCACTGATATTTAAATATAGAAAATTAAGTAATTATGTAGATATAAAAGGACAGATAGCGTATAATTATATCTTTAAAAATCAAAGTGTTTTTATAAATTAATCCAAAAATTCATATATATACAATATATATTATATAATACAAATGTATATTTAACCATATATACACTTTATACAATGTATATTAATAGTTATCCGAAATTGAAAAAAATATTCCATAAAAATGTATGTGACAATTTTTTTCGTTTATTTTTCTTAGAAATTGTAGCAGTACTTGTAGCAAATTCTACGATTGGATCAAACTTTAGGTTTTAGTCGGTCAAGAGGTCACTCCATATCACCTTTTGTAATCTAAATTCGCTTATATATATCTACGATCACGCACATTATATTATAGAAAAGTTAGACAGTTGATTTACTATACATACACATACACACTATACCCGTATGATTGTTTCTCAAAGTGAAAAATCATGACAAGCAAAATATTGCAAAGAAAAAGGGAGAGAAAAAGTTTTAATTTTCAATCTAACATATTAAATATTCAATATTGCTAATTTAATATTTCCATAATAATTTTCAAAATATATTTATATTCTTTTATTAATCACATGAATTTTATATTTAGTCCTGGAATATTTTTCCAAATGAGAAAATTTATATCCGTAAATACATTCAAATTAATAATTAGATCGTGAAGTTACAATTAATCAGTTAATGAAACAACGAAAGAGAGAAATATGAAATATATCACGTAACATAAATTTTAAGAAAGCTTTTTATATAATCTTTTTCTCTAACAAACATATATTTATTATAGTAATATAAAGTATATATTTAAATGCTAATGGTTTCGCATATATAGAAAAGTATGATTTGTGAATTGGTGAAATAATATTTAGATTAAATATCTCTTTAGTCATTTTGATGTTTATCTATGGATTCCTAAATACAAACACATTTGTCATTTTCATATGCTGTATGAGTACATTCATTGATAAGAACACGTGGGTACGAGTCAGTCAATTTTAGGTTCAAGGTCAGCCCACCTACAAAAGTCGGCTGACGTAAGAATATGAAATATCGGAGATAAAAGCTTTCGAAATTATAATATTTGATGGGTAAATTTAATAACAATTTCTGTATTTTATTTATGAGATAAATAATGTAAATTGATTGAATATTGATAGCTCTCATTGATTATTTTCATAGTCATCATATTATAAACTCAGAACTGGCTGTCTGCTTGTTACTCATCATCTTATATATGTTAATTGATATTAATGCGAATTTGATAAATGAATAGTAGATGATATTTTTCTTCTAGATGTCCGAATCCGTCAAAGTAGCAGTAAGATGTCGTCCTATGTCCAGCAAGGAATTACAGCAAGGATGTCGGGTACGTTACACTATAAAGGATAAAGTATAACATTTTCTTAATTATCAATACCAGTGTTTACTAGTATTAATGTCGCAAAATTTAAATCTCAATTTTAACATTTATTAATGTTAAATAATGTTATATCGTAAAAAAGTAAATAATCATAATCTATTACACACATGTGATGCGTATTTAAGAAAAAATAATAAAATAATATCGAATATATAATTCCAATAAGTAGCAAACCATGACGTCATTCGATGTCAAAATGACGTAAGCTACTTGGGATTGTATTCTATTTCTTTAACTGTATATCATACGGCAAAAAATTCAAAATTTACAAGTAATAAACTAATTAATAATATATTTTATTAACATAAAATCATATAATAATTTTATGCCTTATTTAATTTATTTCTCGAGTGAATCGATATTTAACATATCAAAAGACAAAAGAAAACAATTTCAGTCAACTCTTAAAAGTCTCAAAAATATTCTTTTTATTTGCTACATCTTGACTTGATTCAATCTGACTATAACGAAGAGACTCAACGTAATAATGAAGATACATCGCTTTATGCGTGCGATGATGCATGCGTAGGTGCATAATTATATCTAGGTATTCAATTTGCAGGTTTGTTAGACAATTACTTTTTTTTATTTGCTTTATTTCCGGTCTGGAAAGCTCGCACAAAAAACGACATTGTTATATCGAGCGTGTTGTAGCCTAGACGACCGCATCAAAACACGCGCGCGTTTGTCTACGTCTACGCATGCAGATTTGCACTTTTCGCTGCAACGAGATGCCACGCCGCAACGGGTTTTTCATGTTTTCACAGATTTCTCTCCATTTAGGCATGCTTAAAAAATTGCGTGTCTTTTGCTTTCCTTCCTCGTAGAATAATTTATTTTTTCTAAATATAAATATATTTTTAGATATATATTCATATTATATTTTTTTATCATATATAATGTTTATATATATATATATATATATATATATATATATATATATGTGTGTGCGTTTGTATATTTGTATATATCTCACATATATTTAAATATAAATATACATAGACAAAAGAAGCACACGTATCTCTTTTACAATTCTAAATATAATTTTGTATTTTACAGTATTTTATTATACTGAATAAAATTATATTTTTGAAATTATATAATTATATTATACTGAATGAAAATTTATTATAAATTTTGGATAATCAAATTAAATGAATTGTCTAGTAATAATATTTGATATTTAAAAAATGAATTAAAATTTTGAAAGATGTGAAGTTTTATTAACTATCGTAACATTGTGCGAGTCAATGCATGCAATACAGATAGCAGCGCATTTAGTAGGCGTTTATCGATGGCGTAGAATATGTGCCAAATCGATAGTGGCGGCCAAGTTACTCTTTACCATCTTTCCGTAAATGATGACATACGCGCTATCTCATACACACACATACATATATCTACATATGTATTGTATATGCCATCAATCTATACTTCTCGTGATCTATACTTCCAGTGATGTGACAACTCACGCGAAGAAAGTTTTGCACGTTTCAATTTTGAATAATTTTAAATTACTGCAATTCGATTGAAATTTGTACTTTTTTGTTTCCTGATAATTATTATCTAATAATTACTCTGTAATATACAGAGATCCCAGAAATTTTTTAATGAAGCATTTTTCAAAAAAACATTTTATTTTCAAATTTTTTAAATATAATAATTCAATTAAAGATTTCAATGTTTTTTTTTTCAAATGTGATATACTTAATTTGGAAAAATATTTTTTTTTAAATACTTTAATTAGAAATTACAAGAACGCTCTATATTATTGCAGCAGTTATTATATACAATAACAACTAAAACTATCACAAAAGTCTATGAGAAACTATAATTTAAAAATTATGTTTTCTATCAAAATAAGATTCTATTCTCTATTATAATTAACATTTTGTATATGTAATACACACATATATATAAATATAGAATATGTAAAGCATGTTAATGCTGATATATATAAATATAGAATAGGTAAAGCATGTTAATGTGAATTACATATATCGATACATAAACTATTTAGTGATCTGCGAGGACACTGTGCGCATGCTATATCTATTTTCATTCGTTATCTACCTCCTTGTTTCGCAGTAACATGACGAAATCTAAATTCTTTTTTTTTATCCAGAAAATAATATAAATTGAATGTATACAAAATAAATAAAATTAATTATAAAAATTATATAAATAGAATTAATTATTACATAATAATTAATTTTCATTCGTTAATATCTATTTTCATTCGTTATCTACCTCCATGTTTCGCAGTAACATGTCTTAAACGAAATTTAAATTCTTTTTTTCATCCGGAAAATAATATAAATTGAATGTATACAAAATAAATAAAATTAATTATAAAAATTATATAAATAGAATTAATTATTATATAATAATTAATTCTATTTATATAATTTTATAATTAATTTTATTTATTTTATATACATTCAATTTATATTATTTTCTGAATGAAAAAAAAGAATTTAGATTATATAATAATTAATTCTATTTATATAATTTTTATAATTAATTTTATTTATTTTGTATACATTCAATTTATATTATTTTCCGGATGAAAAAAAAGAATTTAAATTTCGTTTAAGATATGTTACTGCGAAACATGGAGGTAGATAACGAATGAAAATAGATATAGCATGCGCAGTGTCCTCGCAGATCACTAAATAGTTTATGTATCGATATATGTAATCCACATTAACATGCTTTACCTATAGCATTTACCTATGTATGTATATCAAAATGAAGTAAAGTCACTCTTTAACGAAAGAAAGCAAAAAAAGAGTATTATATTGAAAAATTAATATTTACCACTGGAAAATTGCATTTATATGAATGCACTTGCAAAATTATTATCATACGTGATGATTACTACTTTCATTTGTTACACACTTATCATTTTTATAATTATTATTTACCGCATTAATTTACTTTTTATTTGTAATTCTATTTATTTTTTAATTAGTATTAAATTTATTATTAATCATCTTTTTCTTTCTTCCTTTTTTTCTTTACATACACATTTTTTATTCTCATTAAATTATTAAATATTTAATGAAGTATATATTGTACATACGATGTGCGCGCGCGCGTGTGTATGTATGTGTATGGCATAAGTGCATATCAGCTGTTTAACAAATCGTTTGTTGCAATTTTATAACCATAGTAAATGATTATAGGTCGACGTATATATTTCCGTCCAAGTTTCGCAGTTAGTAATTCAAATTCCTATACATGGCGTTTTATTATATCCGCGCAACTATCTTTTCGCGGAATTTGCCGCATAAGTGAGTCATTGCAGTTGTTATTATCAAACATATTTTTTGCTATTTATGCACAACAGGTTCCTTAATGGATTTTATATGTATATAAAACCGTGGGATTATTTTAAATTATTTCGTATTAAAGTATTTTACGATAATTCGTTTAATTATCGTGTTATTTATCATATCTACATGAAATCTTTTTCCGAAATTTTATTACTGTAACTTTAGTATATATATATATATATATATATATATATATATATTATATTAATGAATGACATTTACTAGTATATCTAAAATAATTATATTATAAAATAATTATAAAATATTATAATCTTTTTTTCTCTATTATGTGAAATATGTTACAATTTTTTGTAAAATTTTACAAAAATTCTACATTAAAATTCTACGAAATAATCGACCATTAGAAAGATTAGGAGATATCGATTGTGCTATATCACTTGTTGATTTTTATCATATATTAATTTTTCACTGTCATGTCTATCGTAGGACGTCGTGACAATCGATTCACTGACGAAATCTTGCACCCTGGAAGGTTTCGCCGGTGGAAGTGGAAAAATTTATCAATTTGATGCCGCGTTTGGTCCATCCGCTACGACGGAATCGGTTTACGAAGATGTGGGTTCGGTTATCGTCGAGGCTGTCTTGGAGGGTTATAATGGCACCGTGTTTGCTTATGGACAAACAGGCTGTGGAAAATCATTCACCATGCGAGGATTCATCGAACGAACGCTGGAACATTTGTTCGAGGCGACCTCCACTGCCAGCTCCGAGACAAGGTATATATTATCCAAACGTATAATTTTTACAAATACATATCCTCAATGACAAAGGAATAAGTGGAATCTCTATATATTCTATCGTTAATCAATTTTTATTTAATTAAATTTTTTACATTATTTTTTACATTTTGACTCTGTCTAACACAAGTATAAAAAGTGAAGCAGCTAAGAAATTTATTGTGAATATGAATTCTAATGAATTTATTTTACACTTGGAATACTTAAAATAAATTCAATTAAAAGTAAAATAAAATATTTTCAAGTTATCTTTTTCTTATAAATCTTCAAAACTTTTCTAAAAATGTTCAAAGCTCTAATTGTGTATTTTTCATGTTTAGATACTTGGCGTTGCTGAGCTATCTTGAAATCTACAATGAACGATTGCGGGATCTGTTGCAAGACGATACCGGGGAGACTCTGACCCTGAAGGAGGATCCTACAAAAGGCACATATGTCGCAGGGGGTCTGCGCGAGGTCACCGTCAAAGATGCAACCGAATGCGCCGCGTTGGTCCAGCAAGGGGATCAAAGAAGAGCAGCAGCCGCGACGAAAATGAACGCTGCCAGTTCGAGAAGTCACGCCGTTTTGACTCTGTCACTCGAAGCAATCGCCATTAATGACGATGATAAACGTGGAAACGGTATCAGAAGAGGACGGCTGCATCTGGTCGATCTTGCAGGATCCGAAAGACAAGCTAGGACCGGAGCTACAGGTGATCGTTTGAAGGAAGCTGCCAGTATCAATCTAAGCTTGTCGGCATTGGGAAATGTCATTAGCGCGTTGGCTGCCGGAAATGGAAGACATGTCCCTTATAGGTATGAAACAAAATTGATTTTTTCATCCTTTTCTCAATCATTTCCATCTTTTCTTACAAATACAAGTAATTTATGATATTGTTATTTTATCAAATTATATATTATTTTTTTCTGTATTTTCTACAAAACATATAACAATATACGGAAAATAGTTACATATATTATGTAAAGTATTATGAATAAATAATTCAAAATGTTACGAATAAAAAAAAAAATATTCTTTAGAGATAGCAAACTGACGAGACTTCTACGAGATAGTCTGGGTGGAAATGCCAGAACCCTGATGATCGCCTGCGTGAGTCCAAGCGATATCGATGCTGAAGAGACTCTCAGCACCTTGCGCTATGCCGCCCGAGCTCGTTGTATCAAAAATAAGCCTATCGTTAATGAAGATCCCAAAGACGCTCTTCTCAGACAATATCAGTTAGAACTTCAACGTTTGAAAAAAATGCTCAATTCTAGTGATCAATTCGTTGGATTGGACTTCCAGAAGGATACAGAGGAAGATGGAGAAAATTTTAAGGAGAAACAATACTCCGAAGAGGTATAACAATTTTATCATTTTTTTATTTATATTGTTCTCTAATTTAAAAATCTAATTTTAGAAATATATACATATATAAACTTTCTCAATAATTAAAAAAAAATTATTTTTATGATTATTACACAATATATTATATGAAAACACACATATATTTCTTCCTCTATAAATTCTATAATAATTTATGACATGCATTAAAAATGCAGTTAACGCACTTCTTGTTGTCGTAAATACAAAATGTAATAATAAAATAAAATTATAAATAAAGGTGGAGAAGCTGAAAAGAGAATGCGAAAATTCAAATTTATCGGCCCAGAAACTAAAGGAAGAACTAGAAGCCCTAAAATCTTGGTATGAATCGGGATTAAATAAAACTGAAAATTTCAATCAAGGAAATGAAGAGATGAATGAATCGGATAAAGAACGACTAGAAAGAAGAAAGAAGAAGAGAGAGGCAGCTTTGCAAGATGTATTAAAAAGATTGGAAAAGCTGACAATCGGCGGAGAGGAAATCAGGAATGTGGAACTGAAGAAGAGAAGAGAAAAAAGAAAGAAGAAGCTAGAAGCTCTTGTAGGGGCGTTAGAAGCTAATGATGCTAATGGTAGTGTCTTCCAAGTATATGGCCAACTCAGGTTTGTTAATTCTCAATGCGTTATACTTGATATTTAGCTAGATAGAACAAGAAATTCAATTTTAGTGCAATTGTGCTCTTTCGCAATTATATACTGAAATTTCAATATATTTATAATACATTTTACTTATACATTCGAAATAACAGATCGACAGAAGACGCGCTGAAAAGAATGGCGAAGCGAGTGAAACAACTAGAAGCCGAAGCGGCGGATCTCCAGGCATCTTGGGATGCCGAGCGTCGCGAGCTTCTTCGAAGGGAATTATTGACATCTCAGGTGTGCGATCTCATGATACCTTACCTTCGTCCGGGCTGTCCTTTTCGAGATATCACGGCGATGAGGGAGGCGGCAACATGGTGCGACGAATTAGGACGATGGCGATTGCTAGACGTGTCTCATCCTCACATTCCCCTACCTCCAGCCGCCCCTATAACACGGGGGGATGTTCTTCTGACCGGAAATTCCTCTAAGGCGGATCTCAATAATAATAGTAATAACAGTGATGAGGACGACAGTGATCAAGATAATGAGAGAAATAGCAAAAGCACGGAAAAGAAAAAGGGTTGGGATCTCGTGGACAGTTACTTCCGGAGGAGTAGAGTGGATACTCTCTTAGCACACGCGAGAGAAGCAAAAACCTTTGGTGAGTATATATTATATTGTATGTCATACTTTTTTATATTGTATGTTATATAATATGTTATCTAATATGTTATATAATATGTTCTCTACCTACTATATATATATTATTTACTTTCATTGTGTATTATATGTTTTTCTCACACACACACACACACATACACATACTTTTATTTTATCTCTCTATACCAAAGAATATTCATTTCTAGAAATTCAATAGTTAAAAAATTCAGTAGTTATTAAATAAAATATTAATTACGTTAGATTTGTTAATATTTTCATAAGTCTTCAATGGATAAATAGATATATAAAACAACAATATAAAATCATTAGATTTGGAAAAAGAGGTAGTTAAAGCTAAAAAAAGGTACTCACTGCGACTGTGTTGGATCGTGACGTCAGAGGTGAAAAATACAATCTGAAGTAATGTTTTATAGAAATACCTTTTATCTAAAAATAGCACGCAAGAATTTTTAGCGTGTGCTTTCTCGCCTCTGACGTCACAATTCCACAAGGTCGGCAAGGGCCCAGAAATTTTAAAGTTTTTATTAATTTGGATTTGTAATAATTAATAATAATAATAAATAAAAAATATTTCAGAACCGGGGAATCGTCTGAGCAAATCCGGTGGCTCGGAAGACTCGATGTCAATCGCGGGTAGCGGCAGCTATCTGCAGCTAAACGCGCTAAATTTACAAAGTAGCGCGCCGGTGCGTGGCGACAACAGTCCGAATAGATCGACGATTCGCGGTGGTTGGATCCACGATGAACAAACTCACCGGCCTATCTATAATTCTTTTCTCAACACCACGAAGAAGCCTCCTCCAAGGATACTCGAAGCCTTACCTTCGTATCCCCACGACGATGTGTCTTTCAAATCACCTGCTCGCCTTGGCAAAGAGGAATTGAAGTAAGTATATATATTTAAATAAATTAAAGGATTGAAAGGAATGGGTCAATAAAAGCCGGTACGTCGGAAGTAAGAACGGAAACATTTTTGACTTATTCTTTATTTTCTAAGAACATGTGTCGGTTGTCTCTTTGGTTCATCTTCAGCTTAATGTGTGATACGTTGAATTATTTCGTTATACTGTATTATAAGTTAAACTAAAGATGGTCGAAAGAAAGAACCGAAAAGTTCTTAAGAAATTGGCTCTTATTATCTATTATTAGTCTGTTCTTTTCAATCCTTTATTTGAATATATTTAGAGCCTTCTCTCCATCGTAATAATTTAAATAAATTATAATGAAATTTGTCAAGTAGATTTAAGATTAAGTTGATATATTTTTTTTAATTCTGAGAATTTGTGTTTGAATTTTTAGTGTAGTAGTTTATTAATTTAAATTAAAAATTTACTACAGTTCAGATTTTTAATAAATTTATAAATAGATTGTATATATATATAAAATTTTAGTTAAATTTATTTTTTTACTAATTTCATGTGTATATGTGTGATCTTTTATTAATTATTATAATTTAGTTATATATTATAGAAATATATATAAAATATTTATTTTATATCACATATGCACATTTATACATAATTTTAATACTAGAATATCTGAACGAGGAAATCTACCGTCGAAATTGCTACGTAATAACGATACCTTTACTAGTCATCATCCATTCCACGTCGAGCAAGCCTACTCGCCAACTTATTGATGAAACATTTGATAACATTTAACAAATCATCAGACCTTGGCTGTGTGTATTACAAAAGATTAGGAAGATTATATGGAAAATGAGTTATAAGGTACGTTTATTCACAAAGAACGATTTAGGAGAAAAAATAATAAATCTAAAGAAAAAAATTTATTTGTTTATTTGTTAAACAATCATTAGTACAATTGCGCTATGAATTAACTAATACTCACTATTAACAGAATATACATAATTAAAAAATTTTTTTCTTTGCTATAAAATTTCTGCAGACGTGATGAAAAGTTTCAAACAGAATTTAATTACGTTTTTGTTTTAAGATTTTTAATCAAACCTGCAATAGTTTTCTTTAATTTATGTAGCAGAAATATTTAACGATATAAGAAAGGAATTATATCATGATATTGATTTTTCCTAAGTAAAAATTAGTAAGCTTATTTGATATTACGCTGTTGTAACTAAACAATAATAATTCCATTTTTAATTCAAATATAATTCATGTAATAAAATTCTCTCTTTCTCTTCATTTTCTTTCATTCTTTTATAAATTTTACATAATTTCAATTTCGAAATGTACAAACAAATACGTTTTCTTTTTTAGTATAATGAAACATCTGATGTAGAATTAATATATTGAATTAATAAAATTTTTTAACAATTGTAATTATTACTCAATTCGAAGATTTTATCTCAAGGATATCTATATATCTCAGATTCTAATTTATGAAAGCTTGACCTTTGCATGATACACGAAATATACGTAATCTAGTGAAACGTCGGTCTAAATGTTTCACTTGACAAATTTCACTTTAACCCGATTTGTGATGAAAGTCCAACATTTTATTGCGTCTGTTAAAAGGCGCGAAAATAGAGACATATCAAAAGATAAAATTTTGAATATTATGTAATTCCCGGTAATAATATATAAAATCCTCAAATTCCATCGCAAATTATGAATTGCTTAAACTTATAAGCTATAATAATTATGTAGTTAATATTTTAATATTTTAATTATATATATAAATTGCATTTAGTAGTTTTACGCGTATAATTAATAAAACGCAATAATTATGTAATTATATATATAATAATATTTTAATTAAATTGCATTTAGTAGTTTTAAAATTTTAAAGAAAGAGAGAGAGATAGAGAGAGAGAGAGAGATTGTTTCATTTATAATTTTTTTTAAATAAAAAATTTTTGCATTGTAATGCAATCGTATATACGTATAATTAATTACGTATATATAATTTTTCATGATGCTATTCATTACCAGAAAATTTGAATAATCTTTATCATAAATCTGTAAGCAGATCTCTCTCTCTCTCTCTCTCTCTCTCTCTCTCTCTCTCTCTCTCTCTCTCTCTCTCTCTCTCTCTCTCTCTCTGGACTATTCTCTATTAATTTAATCAGACAAAAAAGTCTTGCGCAATTACCTAATTATATGCCTCTTTCTTTATCTGTCTTTAAATTATTCACTACATAAGTATATGTGTGTCTATATTGCCATCATAAATGATGATTTCTATGAATGCTAGGTTCAAGAAACAGAGGTCAAGCTGAAAGAAATGTCAAGGCGACGCCGACAATATTGAAGATTAATGAATAATGGATCAAACTTTAATCTGTGAGACGCTGTGCCTTCGATCTCTTACAAAAGGTGACTTCAGAATTTTCTCTAAACTTTCGCGCTTATTTAAAGTTTATATTAAAAAAAGTAAACATCTGCAAGATAATAAATTTAAAATGAGCGTGTTACATGAGAAATGGGTAGAATTTACATAAGATGTCATTAGAAGTTTGTTTAATAGTGATATTTTTATATCTTTCCCATAATAATGTACCTGAGATTTGCCTCTTTTAAAACGTACCTAAAGTATAAAATTGAGGAACAAGTTAGGAAACAATTTTAAGACTGCTATATATAGGATAATTCGTCAAAAAAGCAGTCAGATATTATAGCTCTATATCATAAATATTATATTAATATTATTTTTATTACAAGATTATGTAAATTATAAATAAATAGAAAACAATCGATAGTTTTGCAGATTGTTTATCGTATTCACGATCTTTGGATACATTGTTGAAATACTCAATTTATCATATTGTTGGATATATAATAGCTAAACGATTGCTGGTTTCTTATATCGATCGTTTTTCGTCCTTATGCTCGCCAAAAAAGGACCCAAATTACAAAAACGTTAATCTTTATACACATAATAGATTAGAAAGCGATGTGTATAAAGATGTATATATATTTATAAATAAAGAAATGTATATTCATAAGTAATATTATAAGAGATGCTGTTAATATGTAACATAATACAAAATGTTCCAAAGAAGTTTTAATTAAAAGGATATTTGTGATTCAAGAAGCGTCTATATCAAACAATTCCTTCTTAATCCGCCAAACAGAAAGTATCCTGAAGTTATTGATAGC